CCCCCCTGCCCCAGGCTCGAGGCCTTCCTCCCCCACTCGACCCGCCAGCGCCGGTAAGCCAGACACAGCATATTGCGCAGCACCGACAGGGGCAATTTCAGCTTGAAGCCAGAAGATCAGACATGCCACCCAAACGCCCCCTTCGCATCTTCTGCTTCGGCGACTCCCTGACGGCGGGATACTCTGGCTTCGGGAGCTCATACACGCCGTACTCGGAGGTCCTCGAGACGAAGCTCGCCGCCGCGTTTCCAGACGCCGACGTCCGGGTGCATGAGAATGGCATGCCGGGCGACATTGTCTCCGCAGAAGCGTTCAACAGGCGACTGAGGGCCGAATGTCAGTGTTTCCCATCTCCCCGGCCTGTGATTGCACAGCCATCTTGAATGAATGGCATGTGGACTGAAGCGCCTTATCACAGTGGACGAGGCCAAGATGCCGTATGACTGGGTCCTCATCCTCGGCGGCACAAAGTACGTCGTATTTCATCTGTCATCATGTCTGGCCCCCCGGGGGATCAGACCTGGGAAGGGGCTTGCTGACACGCGCAGTGATATTGCGTACAAGATCGCCCCGGAGACCATCGTCGACAATCTGAAGGAGTCGTATCGCATCGCGCTCGACAAGGGGAGCAAGGTCCTCGCGCTGACGGTGCCGCAGACGCATGCCAGGGCGCGGTGGGTAGTGGATGCGCGGCGGGCGGTGAATGAGGGCATCATGGCGTATGATGACCCGAAATCGTGAGTTTCTTCACATCACTGTATCTTTTTTTTTCACCCCCAGCATGCCCCTCGCGTTGCTCAGCCTTTTGTTGACTACATCCACTACGCCGAGTCCGCCATGGGCAAACGTACTTCCCATTGCCGACTGCCCTTCCAACTGCTGCCCTTCCTCCCCCCGCCCTTTGCCCCATCGCAGACCGTTGCCAAACCCCGGCAAGATGACTGACAACGACCCCAAAAGCTACGCCTTTGACCTCGCCTCGGCGATCCCCTACTTTGCGCTGCCACCCCCGAAACGCACCCTCTACTGGGACGACGGTGTCCACCTGACGCCCAGCGGCTACGAGTGGATGGGCGGCCACGTCGCCGACGCGCTCATCAAGATCATGATCGAGGAGGCGACTGCGGCGGCGGCGGCTGCTGCAGGCACAGGTGCCGGCGGCAGCCAAGGGACGCGGCGTGCCAGGAGGATGCTGCGGTACGCCAAGGACGAGCTGCTATTTGAGGAGGAGACGGGGGATCCGAGCCTGATTCACGAGGGCTATGTCATTGTGCGGCTGAAAGACTTGAATTGAACGGCTGCTGCCCTTTTTTTTCTGTTCCTGCCTCTTCTTCTCTCTGAACGACTCGCTACCCGGCCATGCTGTGTGTGTGTGTGCCGTCGTTTCAATCGTGGCCCGTTTTCCATGTACACATGGCCGTCTAGACGTGAACCAGGCCAGGCCTCATGATGCTTTTGTTTTCTGTTCTCCTCGTCCGTGATGCGCCGAACACCGACCCCCTGAACGCCTGTGTGCCCATTTTCCCTATGATGATGCGTTGACATGGTTTCGCCTGCTTCACACGAGGAGGTTCTTCGCCACAAAGTCCTGTTTCATAAGAGATGATTAGATTCCTCCGCCGGCAGCACAGACACGCAAACAGGGCACTCACGGGAAACTCCTTCTGCAGGGCATTGGTGACGTTCTCGACCTCCTCGGCGACGCTCTGAATGTTGGCGTCCCACTGGCGCATCTCCTTGCCGACGACGACCTCGGCGCGGCCGCTGCCCTTTTGGCCAGAGGCCTCGCCGCGCTCGAACCAGATGATGCGGTCCATCTGGTCGATGCGGCCGACGAGGCGGCCCTGCTCAATCATGCGGGCCGTCGTCTCCTCGGCCTTGTCGGCGTCGAGGCCGAGCAGGACGCCGAGGGCGTCGATGCCAATGTTGGCGTAGAGGCGCGAGGCGCCGAGGAGGTTGTGCTCGACGACGGCGCGCGCGAGGACGGTGGAGCCGTCGGCCGTGGTGGCGAGCTGGTGGGGCTGCAGGCCCTGGGCGAACTTGTCGACCTCGCCGCGGCTCAGCAGGCGGTCAAAGTGAATCTTCTCGAGGATGCCGAACTCGTCGAGGGCGGCGGCGCGTTCGTCCTTGTAGAGGCGGCCGAGGGTGCGGGCGCGCATGGGGCCGGCGGGGGCGAGGATGGCGCACTTGACGGCCATGCTCAGGGTGTGCAGGCGCTCGTCCTCGGCAATGGCGGGCGACAGGCTGATGTCGTGGTAGCGGGCGCCGGCGTTGAGGAAGTCGCGCTTGGCGTCGTAGACGCGGGCCTGGCTGAGGCGGAAGTGGAGGTCGAGGTCGCGGGCGTCGTGGGGCTTCTCGTCGGCGACGTCGTGCATGATGTTCTTGAGCTTGTTGACGTACGTCTCGGCGGCCGTCGTGTCGTCGACCTCGAGGTAGTTGCGGGCGATGCGGATCCAGACGCGGGCGCGGTCGGCGGGCGAGACTTTGCGTTGGGAGGAGTCGAGAGGCATCTCGGCGAGGCACTTGGCCGCTTCTAGGAAATCTTCGTTGGCCTCGTGGGCCGTGGCCATGAGGTCACGGATCTGGGCCGTCTCGGCGAGGTAGGATGAGGGCTGCTGGGTTGTGAAGAGGTGGAGCAGATGGGCGCCGACATCTTTCCACATGTCATGGTTCTCGAGACCTTGGAGGGTGGCGAGGAAGGACTGGAGGAGGGCTCTTGTGGTGACAATGCCGAGAGAGGAGTCGAAGAGGGAATCGAGGATGGCCTTGAGGTCGCCTGTTATCGCGGCCGGAGAAGAAAGGTTCTTGATGCCGGCGACGATAGCCTCGAAGGCGGCGGGCTGGTCAGAGGCAGAGCGGGCCTCGGCGAGCTGCTCTGCAACTTTGTCCGAGGGCGCCATGATGGCGGTGTGTATGTGATTGATTTCGTTCGTCTCGAAGAAGCTTGGTATCGGTGTCGCGTGTCAGATGGAAACAGTCGCGGCGGTATGGCTTGCAGCCGGCTGAAGTGGTGTGGTCGTGATGGGTCGTCGTCATGTGAAGCGAGGAGTTGAAGGTCCCAAGGTCGGTGTGGGGTAGCTGCACCTGCCTGAAGCTCCTTCGGCGTGCGGGGCATCAAGAGGTCCTGCCGCTGCCCCTCTGATCCTGGTTCCTTGACTGTAGCAGCATCTATCTCCCTGAAGTGCCCCCTGGAGTGAGACACCTAAAATGAACGACAACCTTCCATCCTACAACTACAGGACCACGCATTTGGATTCGCCGACAGCTTCTCTGCCTCGTCAGGCCAATGTCAGAATCGCCTCACTTGTGGGCTGTGCTCTATATCCATCACCCAAATTGACACCTCGCAGCCATGATACCAGAGGATTCGAGCTCGAATACAACCTCAGGCTGACGGCGGCACAGACCCTAGAGTGCCAACATCACCTGACGAGATATTGCCTGCATTCAAAGAACCAAAGCCTCACCTACCCTAGGTAGCCTCCATCGCTACTCCCGAGAGACACCACTCTGCAACGATCAGCAATGTATGCGCGCAATCTGGGCAATCCCCCGCCAAGGCACGCCCTTCAGCAAGGAGCCGGATCCTCCCTAGCGAAGACCGACGCACGCAAGCTGCTGCATCGGCCATGTCATCTGCGTCACCTCCTCTTCCCGGTGAACCCCATAATGTGGGACGGAGTGGCTTTTCCGTAACCTGAACGTTCAAGGGCTTATTGCGAGCAAGTTTCGCTGGCTCTTGATTGGCGACCCCGACATGGTCGACCAGATGTTGCACGAGGCCAGGGTGAGGCTAATCTAGGATGGCAGAATCGTGTTCAAGCCGAATGTCCATGTATCCGCTTCGGAGCTATATCAACTCCCGGGCTCGTCTCGTGAATCGTACAACACAGTGCTCTTGACAATTCGTCGAGCTCAATCCTTCTTCAGCATCACAGAGCAAAGATTTGCTGCCTTGACATTGATCGTATCCCCAACCCACACTCGCTCACGGAGCCAACTTGAGTCGCCACGATGAAGCCCACGCTTCCGCTGTCGGCGCTGTTCGCCATGGCCGCCGCTACGGCCCCCGCCAGCGATGCTCCGGCCAACGACACGCGCCCCGTCAACTTTGGCATGGTCCTCTTCACTGGCTTCCAGGCACTTGACGTCTTCGGGCCCCTCGACATATTCAACATTCTCTCCTTCTCCCAGCGCATCAACCTGCACATCATCGCGCCCACCCTCGAGCCCGTCCACACCTACCCCCCCTGGAACCTGGGCGTCGGCTCCCGGTGGTCCGAGTCCGTCAATCCTACCCACACCCTCGCCGACCCGCCCAAGGACCTTGACGTGCTCTTCGTCCCTGGCGGCGCCGGCACCCGTGACGCCAACATTGCCGAGGTGACCCAGATCATCGACTACGTCCGCGACGTCTATCCCTCGCTCCAGCACATCCTGTCCATCTGCACCGGTGCCGGCATCCTCGCCCGCGCCGGCGTCCTCGACGGCCGCAACGCCACGACCAACAAACGCGCCTGGGCCCAGACGACGGCCCTCGGGCCCGCCACCAACTGGATCGCCAAGGCCCGCTGGGTCGTTGACGGCAACGTCTACACGTCGAGCGGCGTCAGCGCCGGCATCGACGCTGCGCTGGCCTACGTCTCGGATATTTGGGGCGAGGATGAGGCTGTCCGCCTCGCCATTGGCGCCGAGTACAACCGCGTGCTCGACCCGGCTGATGACCCCTTTGCCGCGCACTGGGGGGCCCAGGACGTGCCGCCCGTGAGGGAGGCTTGCAAGAAGCACTGAGCTTGGTGTACTGCTTTGCTCGTTACGCTGTTGTCATGGGTGAGGTTGTCATGATTGAGTGCCCAGCTTTCCCATGAGTGTTGCTGGAACAAGCGGGGCTCTTGATGGTTTTTCTTCTCGTACGTGTTGCTCGCAAGGACGTGATCAGGCGATGGTGTAAATGAGGTGTATGATGCATCATGTTGACAAGAATTTGGCCTCGAGTTATACGGTTTTTCTAAGCGCTCAAGGTAAAGATCGAGGATCTGACATGAAAAACATGACCATTTGCGCTGGGTCTTAACTCTATGATGGGTACGAAATGAGCGTAAAGTACTGGTGGAAGGAGCTCCTATTGACAACCCTCCTGTGATTTCCGAACATCATTCAATGAGTGACTGTTGAGACGCGATCCCTCCCGAGAGCCGAGTGCAACAGGCAAGCAACCTGCACTCTTTCACAACCAGGCCGACACAAATGCAAAGAAAACGAGGCACGAAGAAGCAGAAGGTTGTCTCCACTAGTATTTCACTATTGGTGTACAGAGTGGCATATCGGGTATCTCGTTACCGTGCACGCGCATGATACACATCAGCCCACAATGGCCTGATTGTCGACGCACCACTGCGTCCCGTCGGCTCTGCTCGGGACCACGCGCGGTCCCGTCCTTCTGTCGAAACAAATGCCGAGCCGTCTCCTCTTGCTCTCTTTACAAGCTCTCCCGCCCCGGGTCCCGTTCGTCCTGCAACGTTTCAAGCTTCCACCGTGGTGCAACTTTTGTTGTTGTCGCGTGTAGCGCTCTCCTGCCTTTGGTGGACAGCCTCAGTGCTCCAGCACGACAGGCTTCCCGCTCTCCCACGCATCGAGGCTGTCCCGAATGTTGACCCAGTAGCGCAGGCGCACAGCCTCCCTCTTGGCGGCCTCGAGGTCGTCGCCGTGAAAGGCGGCCTCGAGGACGTCCTCGCTGGCGCGGATGCGGGCGTCGTTGACGGCGCGCAGGCCGTCGAGCTCGGCCTCGGTGGCGGCGTCCTCAATCTCCTCGCGCGCCTCGAGCACGGTCAGCAGCAGGCCCGGGTCGCCGTCGACCTTGAGCGTCTCGTCGTTGGCGACGTCGGCGCCGCGCAGGGCGAGCAGGTACTGGGCGCGCAGCAGCGGGTTCGAGAGCGTCTTGTAGGCCTCGTTGATGCGCGCCGACGTGGCCTCGGCGCGGGCTTTGTGGGCGGCCGGGTGCAGGTCGGGGTGGGCCTTGGCCTGGAGCTGGAGGAACTCGCGGCGCAGCGTGCGCTGGTCGATGGGGAAGTGGCCCGCGGGCGGCGGGCCGGAGGGGAGGGTCTGCGGGAAGAAGTCGTAGTGGGTCGTCGGGATCTTGGACTGGGAGGGGGATGCGTCGGCAGCGGTGGCGGAAGAGGAGGAGGAGGGGGAGGAGGAGGATGTCGAGGGAGAGTCGGGTTTTGTGAGGGTCGCCGTTCGGGAGAGCCAGCGCGCTTGGGGGCTCGGGGTTGGTCTTTGGACGGCGAGCGTGGCGCGAGGCGCGGCGAGTGATGTGCTCGAGATGCTGCGGCATGCTGGTGCCACAGGCGAAGAGGCAGTCTGTCGATGGCACCGAGCGCAGAGGCGGGCGGTGGATGTGACGTGTGTGCGCATCATGGATGGCGAGGGGAAAGAGGGCACAGGATGGATGCCTGGCGGTAGAAGAGTGTGTGGGTTGAAAGGGTGATAGTATCGATTTCCAGAAATGGCCGTGGATCTGTTGCAGGGAACGCGAGGCTCGACGAGGCTATACTGGATGGGGTCAGAAGGCTGCGATGTTGGCGTGGTTGTGATGCTTCTGAGAGCTCGGCTTGCATTATCGAGAATGACGAAGACGGGGGGCTTTGGATGCCCATGACGCTCCACACTTTTTTTCTTCGGCGCCTTGGTGCTCGTTGTCGATTGCCGCCTTGAGCCGACAGAGTCCGACGTCGGATTCTGCTGACATAAGCTGATGGGTGCCTTGGGGAGGCAGAGTACCTAGTGGAGGCACATGTACTGTGGAGTGCCAGGAGTATGTACTGTAGCAGCAGTAGCAGCAGCAGCAGCAGCAGCAGCAGTACCACCATCATCAGCAGAGCAGCACTGCAAATGACCTACGAACGCCCAACGACTCGCTCTTGACCAGCCAGGGCCCCATATTGTGACCCCCACATTGACCCCCAACCACCCTCCCCAGCCGGTCCCTCTCTCTCTCTCGCGCCCCCCATCTCAACAACCCCACGGGACAATTGCCGCCGAGTCAATGGATTGACGGATCGTCTCTTCTTTCCTCGAGGCCCGGTCCCGGGGAACGCTTCCACCTTGCTCTCACTCCATTCAATCGAATCGAACCGTTTGCGGGCAACAGAAAACATCATAATGGCGACCATCTTTGAGGCCGACGAAGGTGAGTGACGGACGGCTCTCTCCCCCCATGAACATCATCACATCATGGACATGCACCCCAAACAGCCCGACTAACTCGACCAGTCGCCAAGCACAACACGCCCGAGAGCTGCTGGGTCGTTCTCTACGGCGACGTCTACGATGTGACCGACTTCTTGTCCTCGCATCCCGGCGGCACCAAGATCATCCTGAAGCTCGCCGGCAAGGACGCCACCGAAGAGTACGACCCCGTCCACCCGCCCGGCACCCTCGAGGAGAACCTCAAGCCCGAGGCCAAGCTGGGCAGGATCAACCCCGACTCCATCACCAAGGCGGCGCCTGTCGTCAAGGCCGTGTCGGCTGCTGACGACGCCAACGCCCCTGTCCGCCTGGAGACGCTTCTCAACCTCGACGACATTGAGGCGGCGGCGACGAAGCGTATCTCGACCAAGGCCCACGCCTACTATTTCTCGGCCGGCGACGACCTGTGGTCCAAGAGCTTCAACAACCGCGTCTACCGCCAAATCCTGCTGCGGCCGCGCATGTTCCGCGACTGCACGCAGTGCGACCCTTCGACCACCATCCTCGGCCACAAGGTCGGCCTACCCATCTTTGTCGCCCCCGCTGCCATGGCCCGCCTCGCCCACCCCGACGGCGAGGCCGGCATCGCCCGCGCCGCCGCCCGCTTCGGCGCCATGCAGTGTGTCTCCAACAACGCCTCCATGACCCCCGAGCAGGTCGTCGCCGACGCCGCCGCCGGCCAGGTTTTTGGCTGGCAGCTCTACGTCCAGAACGACCGCCGCAAGAGCGAGGCCATGCTGCGGCGCATCAACGCCATGCGCGACCGCTACAAGTACATCTGCCTGACCCTCGACGCCCCCGTCCCCGGCAAGCGCGAGCTTGACGAGCGCCAGGCCTTCGTCGGCGACGACGCCCCCGCCATCCAGTCCGCCTCGAACGCCAAGGACGCCTCCGAGACGCGCCCCGGCGGCGGCGGCGTCGGCCAGCAGCTCTTCTTCGGCACCGCCGCCGACCTCACCTGGAAGACGACCCTGCCCTGGCTCGCCGCCCACACCGACCTGCCCATCGTCCTCAAGGGCCTGCAGACCCACGAGGACGCCTACCTCGCCGCCCGCTACGCGCCCCAGGTCAAGGCCATCATCCTGTCCAACCACGGCGGCCGCGCCCTCGACACGGCGCCGCCCGCCGTCCACACGTTGCTCGAGATTCGCAAGTACTGCCCCGAGGTCCTCAGCCAGATTGAGGTCTGGGTCGACGGCGGCATCAAGCGCGGCACCGACATCGTCAAGGCCCTGTGCCTCGGCGCCACGGCCGTCGGCATCGGCCGCGGTGCGCTCTACGGTCTCGGTGCCGGCGGCCAGGCCGGTGTCGAGCGGACGTTTGAGAGTGAGCCCCTTGCCTTCCATTTACTCCCCTTCTTTTCCTTCTCCTCACGTTCGTACGCCCGGGGATACATGCTGACATGCACCACAGTCCTGCAGGCCGAGATGGAGACGTGCATGCGCCTGCTGGGCGCAAAGACTGTGGCGGAACTCGGTCCAAGATTTGTGAGCAGTTACCTTTTCTTTGGGCCCATGTCCTTGACAATACTAACGTTCCACTTCAGATCAACTCCCGGATGGTCGAGAGGGATATCTACGATGGCGAGCCAGGGCTCGACAAGGGCGGCCTGTGGACAAAGTCGAAGCTTTAGATCTTGTATTGAACCAAAATGTCATTTGCCGTTTTCCATGTTCGTTTGGCACTCTCATGGCTTGAGTTTGAAACCAAGTCTGCACGCCTCCGCTGCCTGTTCGTGTATCGGCCCCGTATCTTGGTCAGCGGCAGCGACCATGCCCATTCCATGCCGCATCTCTCCAGCCATCTATCCGAATAGACCTCACGCCCTTGATCTCGTGCGATTGAAGAAGGCTGACTCGCCTTGTCCGTGCAGACCCTAAAAGTGTGACAAAATACCGGACAGGTGCGACGAGTCAATGGACTGTCTGAAACAGTTGACCAATAATCATCCGTGTTAACAGGTTGTTTGTCGTTGTTGAGAGCACTCACGATCGATGAAGTTTTCGGAACCAGCCCAGTGACAGCATCAGACTACACAGCCCAGGCACGCCAGCCTCATCCTGCGTGTTGAGGCCTTCATTCAATTGAGTGTGACGCAAGACAAAAGATAGTGCTGACCACCAGACAATCCTCTGGCAAAGATCGTCTCGATCGCCCAGCCTAGGATCACCTCACAGCATCACCACCGTTTTTCTCACCAAGTAGTGCGCCTAAATCGCGGTTGCCGCTAGGCTGTGTTCGCTGGCGGTGCCTCAAAGGCGCGGCAGCCCGACGTCACACAACCTGATCGCAGCCGCAGCTGACGGCAGGAACGTCAGCACTCTAAGACTGGGAGCTGCATATTAATAAACATGCTCTCTCCCCAGGCACCGAGTCCGCGAGATCACTCGATCGTCCACTTGAAGACTGTAAACGTTACCTCAATTCACCCCAAGGCGCATCTGAGATACAAAACCATGTTCGGCAGAGACGACAGCCACAACCACATTGATGGCGCTGAGCCAAAGAAGTCCCTGTACCAGCGGTTCAAGGACCGCAAGAAGGGCGGCGAAATTTCCGAGGCGGACGTGGCCAAGTACACGGGGATGAGCAAGGCGCAACTCGCGGAATGGGCCAAGGACAGGCCAGGCGTCGGGGGCCAGCAAGCGGCCGGCAAGATCAACGCGGGGGAAGCGTCGGGGTTCGCTGGCATGAACGCTGCCGATGGGTACGCCATAGGGATTCGAGGCGAGGGCGAGCCCAAAGGCCTCCCAAGGAAGCACAGTCAGTAGTAGTCGACGAGTGGCTTCATATTTGGTTGACGAGATCGGATCAGGTAAGAAGATGGTGTGGTAAATGGTCTCGTGCTTCACGTGCGTTGTTGCTCTCGTGGATGCGTGTCGACGGATCACTGACTCGTCTGGCGTTGACAGAGGTCGAGAACGAGGGCAGCCAAGACGAACAGGATGGCTGATCGAGCAGCTGAACCACGGGCGGGCGAAGGCTGAGTACTTGTCACATGTCGAAGACAGGGCAAGACGGATTAAGTTTGGTCGTGTCGAGCCAAGCAAAGTGGAAGTGAGATATTGGCTGCTTGACCCATGTTGGGGGGGAGAGCATTCACGATGGGAGGCGCCGATGTGTAATGCCACCCACCACAACGGGCAACCTCTGACCCGCAGGCAAGAGTGTTCGGGGGCGCTGCAGGGCGTAGGGCCTCAAGCAGGGAAGAGGGGCGGCGGCGGGCAGGAGGGGCAGGAGAAGGGGGGGTGGAGGTACCCAATTGTAAGAAGATAAGGTAGCTAAGGTAAGCAGCTAAGGTAAATGGAGGAAGGGCCTAACAGCAACAAGGAGCTCCACTCAGGGTGCACCTGGCCCGTTTCGCCAAGTACAGGGCAGAAGATCCAAGATGTGCAGGCGACACCTGCTGCTGTCGCTGCTGTCGCTACTGCCCATTGCCTGCTGCCCGTTGGTCGAGCCTTCTTTCCCGGCTGGTCTCCCCGCAGCGGGTGTGCGGCACCTTCCCCATGTGCCATGCAAAGTAGCAAGACCAATTGCTGGGCGCTCTCCTGCCCCTTGTCTGACTTGTCTGAGGCGAGATGCGCTAACCTGTGGACCACCCAGCGTTGGGGAGCTACGCAAAGCCCACTACCCGTTCCGCCCTTCCATCGTTCCATTCGAATCCTTCCCCTGCCCTTTTCTCGCGCCTCTCGTTCTACTCTTGTCTGCTTCGATTTTTGCCTCTGACTGTCCGCCACGGCGCCGTCACCGGCGTGTCCCAGTCTGTGCCATCCCGCTAGACTAACAAGTACTACAGTAGCACTAAGCACAACGTTAGGGACCTGGTTCGCCCAGGCACCTTACTCGTGAGGCCCTCCTCTACCTGTCTTTGGCCAGACTCCGAGACCACGATAGGCCCGATCCAAACCGTAGCCAATCTCGAATTTCGTCCAATGCCTCATCTCCGAACTCCGCCGCCTGGCCCTGATTTGCCCTCAGGCCTACTGCCTTTCTTCCTGGTCGAACTGTCCGCGCATTCAGATCTCGTGCCACCCTCTGGCCCGTCACTCGCAGCGCGCGCAGTGCGCAACTCGCGTCTCCCGGATCTGGTGCCTTGCCCTGTCCGACCCATTTCTGCCCCCCCCCCCTGCTGTCCTCCCCCCTTCAGGTTTCTCATTGCGACTCCATCGTGAGACCCACGATCCTCTTCGGTTCTGCGCTCTTCGGGATCAGAATCCGCTTTACCCAGGACACATTACTATCCATGCACACGGTCGAGTGGACTCTGGATGGGCCCTTCAACCCAACAAGAAAGGAACCATTGTGTCCACAGTCCCCAGTCTGGGCAGTCTGGCCGGGCCATTGTTGAGGGCGACCATCTTGCCGTTGTGTTGCCCCTCCTTCCTCCCATCTGACGGACAACCACCCCCTCACCGACACAATGTCTAAACTTGGGATCAACAGAGCAGCGTCAAAGGAACGCCACAGACATCTGTCGGCATGCAAAATTATCATGTGCTTCTTCACGAGATGCCGAGGGACTACTTAGTCAATACAGCCAGCACTGACAGACAGCTTCTGTGCGCAACTGGCCCCCCCTGCATCGTCTGCGCCGTCTGTAAAGTGACAGGGGTCTCGGCGGACGTTCCCTGCCACCCTGGCCCTTTGCGCAGGCAATAATGCGGGGGGATTGCTTGAAGATGGTGTCGAGCAGGTTCGGTGTGCTGCCCAATCGGGAAACCCATTCCCGGCCCTGTCTCGTGAGTGGATGGCAGTTGGTCGACGACCTTGCCCAATGCGAAGATGAGTGCGAACGACACGGGCAGAATGGGGCCAGGCGCCTCCTCCTGTCGCTCCTTTTCGACCGTGTGTTGGCGCGCGCTGGTATAGTCGGGACAGCGGACGCCAGCTAAGACACGAGACACCAGACGAAAAAAAGTAGGCGAAAAAAAGAACTAGGCATGTGTCGTGCTTGTCTCCCCCCCCCATTCCACTTCACAGAAGCCCAGGAGCATGTGGCGATCACAAAGCTACTACGCACTACCAACGCGGCCCTTGCACTTTCACCTGCTACGTTGTACCCTTACAGTGAAGGAACGTACCAGAGGCCTGACAACAAGAAGCTCGTGCCTTTCTTTTCTTCTGATTTGGTAGGCAAGCAGGCCCATACAACACAAATCCAGCCAGGCGCCCCAGACGCATCCCCGTCCTACCCCGGATGGATCTCTGAAATCTCCTCGCAGTGCATACCCATCCTGTTGTTGCCATCTAGATATTAAAGTCCCCCAAGGTCCCACCCCCTCTCGTCTCGTTCTTCCCCTTCCTCCCTTGTCGTCCGTTTTTCCTTCACTGGGGCTTCCATCTGCGAGTAAGAGACGCGAGTCCTGCTGTATCAATATTCACGACAACGTCAGCACATACTCACACACACATACACACCCAGGCCCACTGTCTCATCGTCGAAACTCACACACAATGTCGGACAAGGTTCAGATGGCTCAGCATGAGCAGCCCATTGAGAAGCGTGGCAAGCGCAAGTCGTGCATGCGACACTGCGCCAAGTTCTGGTGGATTTACCTCCTGGCCTTCATCGCCATTGTTGTCCTCGCCGTCTGCTTGATGTAAGACGGGCTACCTGTTCTGCCGCGCCTCGCTTAGCTCCATTGCTGACCCTGCCACAGCATCTTCGTGGCCATTCCCAAGATCGCCCAGAGCAAGCTGGACCACGCTGAGCTCACTGTTGATGGCATCATTGTCACCAAGACCGAGGAGGACAAGTTCAACATGGCCATCAACTCGACCATCCGCTCCAAGGGCGGTGTCAAGGCCAAGATTGCCCCCTTCGCCGCCGTCATGTACCTCGAGGACATTGAGTCGCACATCCCCTTTGTCCACCTCGATTTCCCCGAGACCGAGTCCGTCAAGATCCAGACCGTCAACACCACCCAGGAGGTCACGATTCCCGACATGGATGCCTTCACCACCTTCAACACCTGGCTGCTCGGCAACGAGACCCTCCGCGTCACCGTTGAGGGCAAGACCCACGTCAAGGTCAACGGCATCTCCAGGAAGTACGGCGTCACCTTCAAGAAGACCATGGAGCTCACTGGTACGTTACGCCTGGCCCTGCTGATTTTCCGGGATCGGAGAAAAATACTGACAGAACGTAGGCCTGAACCACTTCAAGGGTCTTGCCGTCACCTCGAACCGCGTCAACATTACCCACGACGACAACGGCGACAACTTCTTCGGCTGGGTTGACGTTCCTAACCCCTCCGTCTTCACCATTGAGATTGTAAGTCTTTTCGACGTGCTTTTCTTGGCTCCAGGAGAAGGCACCTCCTAACATCATCTTTAGGGCAACGCCTCCTTCCACACCTACTACAACTCGTCCAGCATTGGTACCGCCTTCCTTGACGACCTCTTCCTCTACCCCGGTATCAACAACGTCAGCATGCGCGCCAACATCAGCACCGCCCCCGTCGTCCGCGCCATGAGCTCCGAGCCTTCGTGCGACACCGGTATCGTCGACTTCCAGCTTGGTGGCCGTGACGTTTTCAACAACGGCGAGGACCTTGCCTACTTTGGCAACGCTCTCAGCGCCTCCAACCTCACCGTCCCCATTGAGTTGGCGACGGCCTTTGAGAGGGACGTTGGTCTCACCTTTGAGTGCTAAATCATTCAATCATCTGCCTGTAGTAGAAAGTGTGCATATGTCTGTTTATTAATGAGGAGGAAACCTTGCATGTGTGGGACTATGATACCAGAAGAAGAAATTGACTCGTGGCTGTACCACCATTTACAACCCATTCGCTCTTTGCTTGGTGATGAGATGGACTGTGACAAAGTGTTGGACTGTGCGAACCTAGGGTTGTCAGTGTTACCCCAGACGGGCAACCAGAATTCCGGGATTGTCGGCGAGACATGGCTACATGGCCCGGATAGGCTTGGGATTGCTAACGACTTTCGGCTGCCCGTTAGCGTGTCACGTTGGTCAGCCAGATCCGGTCGACTACGACACCCTGACGCAGTGCGCGCTGATCATCAGTTGTTGGTCGCGGCGCACCTCGGCCGCGCTTTGGTTCCGAGCACCGCGGGTGCAACTGGAGCAGTGCGCACCGTCAAGCAAGAAGTCAAAATTCTGGCGAGCTCTCCCAATTTCCACCCTTCCCTGAAGCTACCCACCGCATCATTATCACATCAGCTTGACGGGGTTGTATGAGACAACAAGTCGCTCCGTGAAGCCGTTGATGCGTTGCGCATGCCATGATCCGTAGATGCTCGTCCCGCACGCTATCAACGTCCTCGGCATGTCACATGTGAAAAGGGACACCGGATGCCTCATCCTGTGACCCTAGTCCCGGTATATCCTACTGCACACGACATTCGATCCTCGGGATCTCCCCCATTCTCCCCACACGCCATCCTTTTACCAAGCCCCAGCTTTCCTCTTGCTACCCCTCAACCCCCCCGCCTCACTCCCGCTCCCCGGCGTGCCCCCACCACTGCTCGCTGCGACGAAATCGACCCCCGTCCGCTTCCCCGCGCTCCTCTCCGCCTCCCTCTCCTTCCTCACCCTCTCCTGACTCAACCGCAGCGGGCCCCGGAAAGCCCAGTCGGGAAACCCACGGCCTTGGCCGCCATCGCCGTCGCCGTCGGCAGCGGCCCCCGCAGGATCCCACGCGCCGGCCGACAGCGTCGTGGCGTACTGGGCGCGCGGGTCGTCGTCGTGCCCGAGCCCGACAAAGCCGAGCAGCTTGTCCATGAGGGCCGGGTTGCGCAGCGCGGCCGAGGCCGTGAGCTTGGCGTTGAAGTGGACGCCCTTGCTCTTGAGGTCGAGGAACTGCTGCGTCTTGGCCGTCAGGGCGGGGGGCGGGGAGCCTGGCGGCGAGGGCGGTATGTCGAGGTTTGGCGTCGGTGGCAGCGTGAGGTCGCGGAGCAGGGCGCGCGAGGCGGTGTGCGGGGAGACTGGGCGGGCTGTGGCGGCGTGCTGCGGCGCCGAGGGCGAAGAGGGAGGGTGGGAGGGCTCTGGGAGGTACGAGGGCGCGTCTGCGTCGGGGAGGGAGGGGCCTAGGGGCACGGAGTGTTGCTGGATAGGACCGATGGGCGGTTCCTCGGGGGCTGGGGCTTGTGGTTGTGGTGGTAATGAGGATGAAGGGGTTGGCTCTGGTTCTGTGGGTTTGGAGGAAGCGTTGGCGGGTTCGGCCTGGTGAGATTGTGAGACGCTGTTGTTGACGGGGGGCATTCATGGAGAGGACTTACCTTGACGGCCTCGACCTCGTTATTCTCTTCATCGTCCTCATCGCTGCTGTATCCGACCAGCAACGCCATTTCGAAGGGGTCCTTTGCGTCAGGATGGCCCTGGATTTATGTTCTGAATGAGACTCGGATGTTGAAATGATACATCGACAAGGTGTTGTTCCGCGCAACGTTGTCGTGTGAGACGGTCGTTGACATGAAGTCGAGTGTGAAAGTTGCGCCACAGCAGGTAGGAAAGTTGCGCCCCACCCACTCACTCTCCAGCCACTTCGGATGGTCTCCCAAAATTCAGGCAAGGCTCCACCAGAAACCAAACGTCACAGGTGAGGACTCTACTCGGAGGCTTCCATCACTCCTCTCCACCTTCACAATCGTACAAGTTCGCCGCCATCACTCCCCTCGGCATCCATCACCGGTCGCACCGGTATCACTTTCATCAGAGGGTTGCTAACTAGTATCACTCAACGCAACGGCCACCGCGCCCACGATCGGCAACTCCTATGCAACCCCCCCTTACCGAGAAGAAGCCTCCGAAGTAGCTCTCACCACCTGTCTCGCTGAGCCTCGAGAACCACATCATGGCTCGGACCAGGGACTCGCGCTCACCATCGCCTGCAGGAAGCCATCACAGCTCGAGACGTCGCAAAGAGGATGATCGACGCGAAAGCCACCGCCGCGATGACGGGCGCGACTACCGCCGTCGCGACCGCACCCGGAGCCCTGCCGACGTGAGAACACACCGCGGCCACCGCGATGAGGACTTTTCTGACAGGACCCACGAGCAGCGCCGATACCGCGACCGCGACAGTGACCGCCGCCCACGCGACGACCGCGATGCCTACCGCCGCAGAGACCGCTCCGTAGATCGAGACGACGGCCGACGTCGACAGCGGCGGTCGCGCGAGAGGTACCCCGACCGCGAGCGCGAGCGCGATCGCTCCGCCGACAGACGAAGATACAGGGATGGCGACAGGGACAGGGACTATCGCCCACGCCGCGACGACTCGCGGGACCGCAACCGCGGGCGTCGGGAGGGTACCGTCGAGTCGCAGCCTCGCAACAGACGTGACGGCAGCCGCCCACGAGGTGCCGCTGGCCCTTCCTCTGCCGGTGCAGCCGGCCGTGAGACTGCGAAGCCCAAGCCTGTCGCTGCTGCGCCCGCGCAGTCGGAAGCCGACAAGAAGGCCGAGCGCCTGGCGCGCCTCGAGGCGTGGAAGAAGAGCAGAGAGACCAAGAAGGAGACTGAGGTTAATCCGAGTCAGACTAGGAACCTCCTCGCCGAGATGGACCAAAAGTCGGTCGCCTCTCCAACCGTTGCGTCCCCCGCCGTCGCGTCGCCCTCGGCGGCCTCGCCCACGTCGCAAACCATGTCCGGGCCGGCGTCGCCTGCCCCCTATGCTGGCAAGTTTGATCCAAAAGCCATCGCCAAGAAGTCAGCGGCGTCGTCTCACAAACACGGTACTGCTAACGGCGTCCTGGGCGCCTTTGACGCCCAAGTCAGCAAGACGGCAGCTCCAGTGAAGCAGGACTCCAAAGGTATGCATTCGCATCGTACACCCTCGTCCATGAAACCCACTGACAGCCATGGAACAGCATTCGCACTCCCGGCAAACCGCGGTAATATTAGCACGTTCGGGTTTAGCAAATCCAGCAATGAGAAACCCCAGGCCAAGCGAAAGCTCGTCCTCGATGAGGAAGATGACACCAAGAGAAAGCTGACCAAACTGCCTGCTCTCCCGCTCGAAGCCGACGATACCCCCTACGCTGACCAAGACGAGGGTGACGATGGCGATTCGGACGGCGACATCTTCGCCGAGAACGAGGAAGAGGCCGCAGCAGCGGCCAGAGCGGCGCACGAGAGGCGTGAGCGAGAGATGAAGGTCGATACAGACGAGGCACCAGAAACGAACGGCACCACGGAGGAAAAAGCTGACGGCGATGAGATGGAAGTTGACGCTACCGGCACTGAGCCTTCCGCACCAGTCGTTGAGGAGGTGCAGCCGGAGCCGGTGCGTGAGGAGCCTCAAGAAGTCATGAAGGTTGACGAAGAAGAAGAAGAAGACGATGACGCCGATCCGCTCGACGCTTTCATGGCAGACCTGCAAGAGACAGGATCGAGGCCGGCGCCCAGGGCAAAGACCAAGACCGCTCCTGAACCAGAAGCTTACTACAGCGATGACGACTTTGCGTACAGGGACGAGGATCCCAACGCGAAGAACCCTCTGGCCGTCAAGCGCAGGAAGAAGGAGATCCCTATCGTCGACTACAGCAAGATTGAGTTTGAGCCGGTTCGCAAGAACTTCTGGACTGAACCCGCAGAACTGAGCGCCCTCACAGAAGCGGAGACTAACGATCTGCGCCTCGAGCTAGACGGTATCAAGGTGTCTGGAAACGACGTTCCCAAGCCTGTCCAGAAATGGGCGCAATGCGGCTTGACACGGCAGACTCTGGACATCTTGGCCGATCTGGGCTATGAACGACCCACGTCTATCCAGATGCAGGCCTTGCCATGTCTCATGTCGGGACGGGACGTCATTGGCGTCGCGAAGACGGGTTCCGGAAAGACCATGGCTTTCCTGCTCCCCATGTTCCGGCACATCAAGGATCAGAAGCCCATCAGGGGTGACGATGGTCCCATCGGGCTCATCATGACGCCGACGCGCGAGTTGGCAGTGCAAATCCACCGCGACTGCAAACCGTTCCTCAAACCCATGGGCATGCGTGCCGTTTGCGCCTACGGCGGCGCGCCCATCAAGGACCAAATTGCTGACCTCAAGCGCGGTGCGGAAATTGTCGTCTGCACGCCGGGACGCATGATCGACCTGCTTGGTGCGAACCAGGGGCGAGTGACCAATTTGCGCCGTGTGTCCTATGTCGTCCTCGACGAAGCGGATCGAATGTTTGACATGGGTTTCGAACCTCAGGTCATGAAGATTTTTGCCAACATGCGCCCCGATCGCCAGACCATCTTGTTCTCCGCGACAATGCCAAGGATCATCGATTCTCTGACCAAAAAGGTCCTCAAGTCGCCGGTGGAGGTCACGGTTGGCGGTCGCAGTGTCGTTGCCCCTGAGATTACGCAAAAGGTCGAAGTGCTCGATGAGGGCGACAAGTTCTTCCATCTGCTTGGTCTTCTCGGCGAACTTTACGAGGAAGACGAGGACGCTAGGAGTCTCATCTTTGTTGAACGCCAAGAAAAGGCAGATGACCTGCTCAAGGAGCTCATGACCAAGGGCTACCCGTGCATGTCTATCCACGGCGGCAAGGACCAAGTGGACCGAGACTCGACCATTTCCGACTTCAAGAAGGGCATTGTCCCCATTCTCATCGCGACGTCTGTCGCCGCAAGAGGTCTGGACGTGAAGCAGCTGAAGCTGGTCGTCAACTACGATGCCCCCAATCATCTCGAGGACTATGTCCACCGTGCTGGGCGTACCGGTCGCGCAGGGAACAAGGGAACGGCAGTCACATACATCACCAGTGAGCAGGAGAACTGCGCCCCCGGCATCGCCAAGGCCCTCGAGCAGAGCGGCCAGCCGGTGCCAGAACGGCTCAACGAGATGCGCAAGGCCCACCGCGACAAGGTCAAGGCTGGCAAGGCCAAAGACACTTCCGGCTTTGGCGGCAAGGGCCTCGACCGACTCGACGCGGAGCGTGAGGCGGCGCGGTTGCGCGAGCGCAAGACGCACAAGGCCGAGGGCGACGACGACGACGAAAAGGAGGAAAAGCCGGCGGTCAAGGAGAAGGAAGAGGAGAAGCCGGCCGTGTCGATGATCCAGGCGGCCACGTCTGCCATCATGGCGCGAAGCACGGCGAAGCCCGACGGCGACGCCAAGGACAAGGAGTCGGCGCAGGCCACGGGCCCCGGCGGCAAGCCCCTCGACAAGGTCAGCGCGGCCATCAGCGCCATCAACCAGCGCCTCGGCAAGGCGGGCCAGCTGCGCTCCGGCCAGCCCATCGACAACAAGGGCCCCGACGCCGGCGCGTACCACGCCACGCTCGAGATCAACGATTTCCCGCAAAAGGCGAGGTGGGCCGTCACGAACAGGACCAACGTCGCCAAGATTCTCGAGGCAACGGGCGTGTCCATCACGACCAAGGGCACCTTTTACCCGGCAGGTAAGGACGTGCCGGCGGGCGCCGACCCGAAGCTGTACATTCTCGTCGAGGGCGACACGGAAGTCGTAGTCGGTGCGGCCATGACCGAGCTTACCAGACTGCTCAGCGAGGGCGCGGTGGCGGCGGATACTGCGGACCGTCGTGCACCAGCGTCGGGACGCTACAACGTTGTGTAAAAGCCAGGACTTGTTACTGTGTGGCGCTTTTTTCTTGGAGGGCGTTTTACGGGATACCAGACCGGCAATAACACAATGCAACAGGTTATTCATGTGCGATGAGTGCATTTTCCAGTGACGCAGTGCCACGGCGACAACAGTCCAACGTTGACAGTGGGTGGAGGTTGCAAATGCTCCAGCCTTTAGGCGTCGTGACGGCCCATGAAGCACAGAGCCGCCAGTCATCCTGTCCAAGCTGCACAGCATTCACTCACAGATCCCGATTGATGTTAGCAATCCTTGCATATACAGGAGCAATACTACGCTTCCAAGGTGTAAATGGGGGGGTCCCACGTCCATGAGGGGATGGAGGAGAGAAATAAAAACCAAGATCACCGCTTCGTAAATGCCACAACAGGACAAAGAGGCCGCTTCCTGCCCAAGGCGCTCTTGTCCATAAACCGCCGACGCCAAGCAAGCACACTTCGCAAATGCAGAAGAAAAAGAATCGAAATGCCCAGTCATATACGCCCGAGTCACCAGGGAAGCCTACCCTCACCTCGCGAATCCTCAGTTGTAGTCTCGCGCCACGGTCGCCGCGTCCGCAGCCCGATGCTGCCTCTCCTCGGCGCTAAGCTGGTTGAGGGTATCATTGCGCGTCTGTTTCTTCTGGGCGTTGAGCTGCGCGCCGAGCTTGCCCGTTGGTTTGCTGGCGGCTTTGGCACGGGCCTATTGTAGGAGGGGAAGAGTCCCCCGTCTGTCAGTGTCTCGTTCAATTCGGCGGGGCCGCTTGTAAGATGGGGTGGGATATGTTATGTGTGTACGCACCTCGGCTGCCTCGGCGGCGCGCTGGCGCTGGTCATCGCGACCGGCGGTGGAGGCTTCGGGGCCGCCGCCGCCGAGGGTGCGCGGCGGGCCGCCGACCTTGGGGACCGGGGCGGTCTGGCGCTGGGGAGGTGCGGTGCCGAGAGGTCGACCGGGAGAAGCGAAGTTTTCAGGCTTCTCTTTGCCGCAGACGGATCCCATCGTGGTCGGGTGGAGAGGGGTCTTTTCGGTGCGTGAGGGGGATCTGGTGGTTGACGAGGCTGAGCGAGGTTGAGGGTTGAGGGTTGAGGGTATCGTGAGAGGTGCTTGTTAGTTTGCAGTCGCAGGCGTGATGTCACTGTGGTCGCAAATCGCCAGCAGCAAGTCGCAATTGATAGTTAGTGTACGAATGGGAGTGGCGGTTGAGTAAAGATGGGATGAAGTTGTGGTCAGAAAGCGCCATGTGAAATAGCAAGGCTCTACGAACCGAGGACATCGCCCGCAATCAGCCACTTGGAGGGGACGCGCAAGTTCCGGCGAAGCTGCCAAGAACGACCTCCTAAGCCTCCTTCCTTGGCCACGAATGGGTGGTGACAATTGGGGGGGTTGTGCAGGCACGGGCCACCAACCAGCCTGGTTGGTCCCTGCCATGCGTGCCACTGAAGGAGGGGTCGTTACTAAGGCAGGCTCGATCTGGCAGTCGCTGACCGATAAGCATCATAGGCAGGCACGATATGATAGATGCACCCAAAAAATGATTCCGACAGTCGTGTGCTCGCTGGACTGACAGCAGCAGCATCTCTCGGTTCACGCATGACCCCATACCAGCCCTCTGCCACAAGCAGCCTGCAAGGTGTTCACTTTGCGTCTCAAGTACTTTGTTTGCCTCTGAAGTACTTTGACAATTTCCCTCAGAAAGATACATCGCCAGCGACTGCGGGCCTTCGATTTACACACACATACCTTACCCACCTAGACACCGCACTCCTCATGCCTCTGGCTGCCAGGTTCTACATCGACCCCTCCCCACCCCTCCAAAGCGCCTACAAAGTGTGAATTTCCCATTGATCATAGGGCAATGGCATCCTCGTACCTGAACGGGCGAACCAACTTTCAGGGGCGTTGCAGCCACCAGGCTTTATGCGCAGCGCCATCTTCGGGCTAAACTTTTGTCGGTGGGTTGGGGGCTGCACTCATTGACTTTCATCTGCGTCTCTCTCGAGATATTGGGGCAGACATTTGACGGAGGCGGAACGGTGTGACCTTTGTTTGGGTGGGCTTTCGGAGCTTGCTTGTCCAAGTGATGTCGAGCTCCGAATCCATGGACGCAGAGGACATAAAGGGAGCGCGTCCTTCTCACCAACCCGGAGCGTTTCTGGCATCAAAGACAGGCAACCTTGGGGCCCCCGGAACAAACATTCGACAGCACGTTGACAGCAAAAAGCACTTCTTCCTCCCAAGACACCCGCCCACGTTTCGGACACTTTTGTTCCTGGCCTACCACCTCGCGCTCTCCCGAAGACCCGAACCTGCAGGCAATACCTACTTGCCGCAGCCTGCAGTCTCGGCTAGAGAGATCTTTGAACCGGCGACGTCGAGTCCCATGGTTACGAGCCCACTCATTCGCCGCCCTACTCCTCTGAGCACTTTGCTGCTGGTCCCTCTGCTGGCCCCTCTGCTGGTCCCTCATAAGGCCTTAGCATCTGAGTTGGCACCCTAGCCCCGAAGTCAAGTCGTTGATTTTCTCTCGACAATTCCGTGTCCTGGGTACTTGTTGCACACGCACGGCAAGCTCCCACTCGGAGGTACCCACTACATTGCACGGCATTACGTCGACAGGGGTCCTACTGCAACTTCAACTCGTTAGCCCCGCCTCTCTTCTCATCGCGCAAGCCATCCGGGTTCTCACTGACCTCTCTTCTTGGCAGGCCCTCCGCGCCCACACCCGCGTCCGCGCCCACGCCTACCCACGCAAAGGCAACGGCAGGCGCTCATCAGCCACTTGCCTGTCCACCGCACTGCGTTGTCGCTTCCAACGGAGCACACGGCGGTCACGGTGACGGCCCACGGTCGGGGTGTATTATTTCCCTCTGCCCACTGGACTTCTCCTGCCCCCTCGGTCCCGTCCCTGATCACCACCTTAGGGTCAGACGGCCACCAATTTCTTCCTTCGTCCGCCCGTTGCGGATCGCTGTCTTGAAACCGGACCCTTTCCTCTCGATCCCCCATCCGGAATTTCCCACCAGAGAGCATCTCTTACCACTTGCTTTCTCAATATCCATTCTTCTCAGCACTGTCTGACCATCCATCTGTGCCCTGTGGAAGATCTTCCCAGGCCACCCCCTCCCCTCGGATATCTCTGATATCTTCTACTCCCAAGTGGCCCTCTACCGCCTCTGAGCACCAGCTCGACGCATCTCCGCCATGGACGATTCCTATGGCATTGACATGGAAGACTTTACGGCTTCCGAGCAGTTGAACTTTGAAATGTTCACCGAGCTCGACCCGACGCCCAGCTTTACCCAGGCCTCTGAAAGCCACAACCACTTCTATCATGGCTCTGGCACCTCCCACGATGACACATGCATTGATCCCAATGCCAGCTTCATGTTCTCCTCTCGCTTGGACAATGATGCGCTCATCTCCCAGCCGTCTGCTCCCCCTCCTCGGTCAGCCCCCTCAGCAGCAGCAGCAACAGCAGCCGCAGCAGCAGCCGCGTCTCGCCCTCGCCCTCGCCAGTCTTCCATGCCCACGGAGACCAACTCGAACGCCAACAACGACTTTGACTTCCATGGCTTCCAGTGGACCAATGCAGCGGCTGCGAGCTTCAACACTCTGTCTGACCCCAACTACGACCTCCTCCCCAATGCGACGGACGAGGCTGCTGCCTCGCCCAAGGACGCGTGTGCTGCCGAGTGCACCAAGCCCGACTGTGAAGATATCTGCGAGGACCCGGACTGCGAAGTCGACTCCGAGGCCTGCGCTGACGACTGCGCTGTCGACTGCGCTGTCGACTGCGAAAGCGCCTGCGACGACGAAGAATGCCGAAAGGCCGAGTGTCCTGACCAGTGCGACGAGGAAGCCTGCAACCCCGTCACGCGTTGCACAGAGGATCACTGTTCAGACAAAGAAGAAGCTGCACCTGATGATGCGTCTGCTGCTGCTGCCAAAATCCTCGAAGATTTGCAAAATCCTCCCGTCGTCCGGCAACAGCGCCGTCAGCCGCAGCATCCACAATATATGCAACTGCAACAGCAACACCGGCAACAGCAACACCTGCAACTGCAACAGATGCAACAGCAACAGATGCGACAACAGATGCAACAGCAGTTGCAACCACAACAGCAGGAACAGTACCTTTACACACATGGCATGAATTTTGCCTCCCAGCAGACGCTTCAGTCCCCAGCTCTCCAATCCTCGCAAATTCCTTCTTCTCGCCCAGAAGATGGGATGACCTTTTCCCAGATGGACTTGAGTTCCGTCTCTTTCGAGCAGGCCGCGCCACAGGTCGACATGATGGGCAGGTTTATCGATACTATGCCTCTGAACCCGACCATTGATCCTTTCTTCGAGCATATATACCAGTGTCACGACCCAAATCAACCCCAGTGCGTCGAGCCATGCGTGCTCAGCACCTTTCCCACGCAGTACGCACAATGCCCGTTTCCCCAATGGCCCCAAGACCATCTGAATCAGAATGCGTTCTATCAAGGAGACCACAGCCCGACCACGCAGAATACCAAATGCAACACCAAGTTCCGAACGGCTTCGCAGCTGGTCGCACACTTCAACGAACAACATCGGCCAGCCCTGGCTGCCACAAACCACACGTTCGCTATCCCACAATACAACATGCATCACCCGAGCCCGGCTCCCGTGACCCAGACAATCAAGGGCTTGACTTTTCGTCGGGGAACAGGCCACCTCAACGGCTCCCCTACATTGATGCAGCGACCGCTGTCTGCCATGACAGCCTCGTCCACCCTGACAGGTGATAGCGCCCAAATCAGCACTCCAGTGACACCTGCATCCGAAAGCTTCAGTCGCGCGGGCAACCAGTGTCGCTGGTTTACTCATGGTCAGGTCTGCGGATTGACATTCAGGGATGAAGCAGACCTTCATCAGCATGTCCGCGATCATCACACCGCACCCTTGAACAAGGAGTTCGGTGGATTTCCCTGCCACTGGGAAAATTGCATCCGCGTAACGAAGTGCAACGCCGGCCACTTTAGTCAAAAGTCCAAGCTTGACCGCCATCTACAGGTCCACACCGGCTGTAAGCACAACTCTGCCGTCCGCATCATGACCACCGTGACCACATGGATTAACTTGTTATATAGACAAACCTGTTAAGTGCTCGGTTTGTAACCTTAGTCTTTCCGCCAAGCAGTCGCTAGACCAGCACATGCGTATACACACTGGCGATGAGCCATGGGTCTGTACTTGGGCTGGTTGCGGTGCATCCTTCAAGCAACAGAGTGCTCTCAGTAAGTCTTGCAGCGAATACTCGTCAATGACACGATGAAGCTAACTTGTTCTCTACAGCAATGCACACAAGGACACATACCGGCCTCAAGCCCCTTGCCTGCAATATATGCGGGAGAACCTTCAGCGAGTCGTCCAACCTGTCTAAGCACAGACGCACTCACAATTTGAAAGGTGATCATGTCTGCGACATATGTGGCAAAGACTTTCGGCGCCTCGATCAGCTGCGCCGACACATCAAAACTAAGCATAAGACTGACGATGGGAGCGGTATGGCTATGGCCAAAGCTGATAGTGATCAGTCAGGGCTTGACCTAACCTTCCAGTCAAGTCCTCAGTTTGACGCCCTCGACGCAATGCTCCAGGGACTCCCTAAGCTTGAGAATAGTCCTCTCTGATGACTGACGAAGTTGACGACAAGCAGAGATGCGGTGTTCCTCATGATGTTGTTTCCTTTTTTTTGGTTTCTTTCAAGTCTCGGGGCAGGAAAACGGTCGGCAATGATCGCGGCGTTACGGCTTGGCTGAGTCGCTTTGGGTGGGTGGGCGGTCTGCCTGTGATTTCTGGTGTTCGATACCCCGCGGAAACGGAGTTCGGGGGCGGGGCACTGGTTTGGTCAATCTTGTCTTTTCCATTCTGTCTTCCCCACTCTGACTGCGATTGCAGTCGAGTGTTGTTTTGGGGTTATCAAGCATCTATACGGGGAAGGGCGATGCACCTGTGGTGGCAAACCGCCTAAGGCTCGCTGGCCCATTGTTCGGTGACTGCTCACGCGGTCTTGCTTGGTGTTTTTTTGGGGCTCTGGTTTTAAAAAGGTTGACGCACCTATCATGAACAGTCTCTTGCAGTCTGGTCATCTGAATTGAATCACCATGAAACATGCTTGTGTTTGCACTCTTTACTGCAATGGTCCTAAGTGACTTGAGCGTCTGTGACCGCGACATGGCCAACAATCCCACCTCTTTACTTGGCATTTGCAAGCCGGAGGGAGACTGTGCCGCAATGCTGTATGTTCCCCCTCTGATCTGACATAACATTATAGAAACTGGTCAAGATTCGCATCGCAAGGTCCGCACGTGTAATTTTTACATGGGTAAGGCTTTACTTGGGCATGTCGTTCCTGACTGTCATCACCTTGCTGATGGGAACCCAGATTACCTGACTTGTACGGGAGACACGGGGGAGGGACAGGATAATAGGACTCATCATCATACTCTGGGGCAACCGAATGTTGGTCGTGAGACATGCCAGCAGCGGGGGGCTCAGTCGGCGTCTTGGAACTTTTCCGATCAGCGCAGACAGCTTCGACCCCCTCCCCCCCTTTTTTTTTCGAGGGCGCTGGCGGTCATGCCCCTCGGTAACTGTGCTGTCATGGCTTGCACGGTATGGTCGACGAGGTGGGCTGCGATTCCTTTAGCGTAGAGTGAATTTACTGTGGGAAGGGGATGTCATGTCGAATAGGGTTCAGGGGATTCGTTTTCCTGACGAGCATTGTTGGGGACAGAGGACGGGGGCGCTGGCGAAGCAAGACGAGACAGACAGGGTTACGAAGCTGGGAGAGTGGGTCTCCGCATGCGTTAGATGATCGGCCTCTGTCCTCGGTCGTTGCCTGCACGAAAAGTGAGGCTGTCGAATGGGTCGGGAATCGGGATGCATCGTGGGTTTGGCAAGACGGAGGAGAGGAACACGCGGACGCGTGTGGTCGGGGGTGGAAGACCGGCGCTTTGCTCGGAGTCGGGGTCGTATCCGGGAGTTTGGGACGCCAACTTTTGCTTACCGGTCTCCTTCTGGGTTTGTTTTTGCATCCTTTGTGGCGTCGAGAGTTCTCCTTGGCAGTGAACGGCGACCGACAACTCTGTCGTGCAGTGACAGGGCAGTGCGTCGGGCGTTGTTCCCAGCTCCTTGGTGTCTCAACCGCTCAACTGGTTTCGGGGAATTGTCCATGTGATTTGGGTTGCACGTCGTTCCTAGGCTTGGGGGACAGACATGGGCAAGGGCTTTGAGTGTAGATGCTCCAGTTCATGTGATCAATGATGTTAATCTGCTTTGGATCCTGTGCTGGTATCACCCCTCTTGAAAATGAATTTCCCGTATGATGAGAGCAGAAAACATACAGAACTGCCCCCAAATTATGAAGAGATTTTGACACTTGTTCGGGTATTTTTTTCTTCTTCTGTATTTGTGTGATCTTCAGAAGCTTTTGAGAAAGCCAATGCCTCGTACTGCAACAAGAACCCTATAGAGCTCTCATTAAGAACTATGCGGCCCGTGCAAAGGGCCGAATGAAATTCGTTGTTCGGAACATCGCGGAAATGTTGAGCTGGCAGGCAGGCGAAGTTGCTCGGACTCGGCTGCCCTTTGGGAGGACGGTGCTCGGGGGCGGTCGTTGAGGCTTTCAAGATTCAAACTGTAAAGACACCAAATTACTCCAGACATGTTTTCCCTGAATCGGCGCCCCACGCCTCGTCTATCCTGACTTGGCCAAAACAAATCATCGTTCCGCCTTTTGTCGCGCATTTGAGTATTGCCGTCTCATGCTGGGCGAGGGTTGAAATTCGATGACTATGCGAGGACACCTGACCTCACTTGCGTGTGCTTCGAATAGTGAGTGAGCCTCATCTACCCATGCAGCTGTAGTCTGGTTAGCCCTACCCGTCTGGAGAATACTAAGGCTGACGGAAGGCAAGACTGTATATTTCGTCGGTAAGCTAGGCAAACACATGAATCGTTAGACAGTATGGTTCTCTACGGCATGCGTCAGGCAACTGCTCAATGCCCGCAGCATCCTTTGAGGGGGGTGGATATAGCACACAAGGAACAGAAGCTGGCTGCTCTGAGTTTCATCTGAAACGTGGCTTTCCGCCTCCTCCAACTGGAAGTACCGTCTTGTGTGCAATGTCACTTGAACTGCCTGCCTGGAGAAGGTACAAGGGATACTTGTCATCCAACGTTCCTCACACTCCAACACCCCATGCACACGATGTGGCGCAGATAGTCCTTCTCCCCAGAATGTCCACAATAGGGAATACGAGACGTTTAGGTTGCATGTCACATCGGGAGGCACCGGCTATGTTCGATGGTGTCCGCTGGAGCAGATTCAAGCCCGCACAAGCTCTTGACCACGGCGTAGAGAGCGCGGAACGAGCGAGTTGCGGCCTCGTTTGAACAACGATACGATTAGGAAACGAAGAGAGATATGTAGATAATTTTTCTACTCTCCCCCCTTTTTTAGAAAAAGCAAATGAAGAAAACGACTGCAAATACCTGCGGTGTTCATGGCTGGTCTCGTACATGCCCTTGAGCGTCCGACACGGCGTAGGAAAGGGGGAAAGAACGACACTAGCTTGAACGCAAACGATACCTTTCACGGCCTTGAAATGGCTCATACTGAATCTCTCCTGAGGCCTGCAACTTAACTAAAACCCGTTAGGGACGCCGTCTTGTCACGTAATGACAAGGCAGGCTCCACGGGGGACGTGTATGGTGCACGATGCCTGGTGACAATGCAGCCACCTTCCGCGGAATGCGAGTAAAGATCCGACAAGCTAGACATGTGAATATCATAGCATCTGCTACTGCAGCTTCGCATCCGGGCCTTCTTTTCGGGGCATGACGTGCTCTTGGTCCGGAGTGTGGCCGTCACCGATGTGGACTCTTGCAAGGAAGTGCCGATATTCTGCTCATCTGCACTTTCCGCCTCACTACTTGCTTTCCCATGTTTCTCTTCTTTCTTCCTCCTCTTCCTGATGACTGCTTCTGCTGCTCTTTTTCTCCCGGACTGAGGGGCGTTATGTTGGCATCCTCGTCTGAGGGTGTTTTAATGGATAGGCAATGCTGAGGTAGCACATGGAAACGAGCCAGCAAGGAACAATTGGGTCTGCTTCGGCAGTGATTCATTTTGGGACGAGAGGCCTGCATATTGGGGAACCCGAGCTCTCACACTCGGGTGATTGACTGGTTGGACACTGGTTGGACACAGGATGCCGCAACGACTGGGGGATGGTCAGGATCGGGTTTGCAGCCTGTCGAGGCTACGCAGCATGCAGGGAGAGCTACTTGACGATGGGACCCGCTTCGACATGATCAGAACGGAAGGAAAACGCATTTCCATAAAGCTTGGATGGACTCTGGTACTGGAACAGCTCCTGATGGAGCTTGACCCATATCAAAAGTGGGTTGAGGAAAAATGGTTTGGAGGAGTCAAGTTTGGTATAAGCCCGCAGATGATGCGGCACTGACACTCAGCGAGAAGACATTCCAAGCCTCACTCATGCTCACCCTGCATCAGCAAGACGTTGATACCAGCCCAATCATGACCAGTATCGGTGTCGTGGAGGATGCGGTCAACCGTTTCTGAGGTTGAGCGATCTCAAGCAGATGTCAGTCTTCTACCTCTGAAACGCGATTGGGTAGCACATACGACCATACCTACTGGAGAATTCGGGATCCCGTCCGCTCTCCCCTAGACAAGCCAGTAAGGGTCGGACTAGTAGTTGGGTGGGTGACCACCAGCGAATCCCTGATGTTGTATGTTTTTTCTTGTTCTGTTAGTATTTTTGGAATCGGTCGCTACAGGGCGCCTTGGAGGGATGCAGCACTGATTCGAGGTTCTAATGGGGTGCGGCGAAGCTCGGCGACGGAGTGATGTGGGGGCGGAGGTCATGAATGCGGCCGTAAATCTCCTGAACTTTCACCTGGAGGCGAAAGCCGGGCTGATGCGTGTCTGTCATGGCATCAAATGTAGTTCCCAAATATGGGGCATAGGAAACATCGTGTGATCGTCTCAGTCATCTGCCCACGCCCCCAATGCGGTTCGCTAGACATTGAATCTGCCGAAAGGCACTCCGAATCATAATATCGCGATGTTCATTATACTTCACCTTCTAGACTTTCTTTTGTAATGCGCGTGCGCCCCCAGGAGAATTGCGCGTAGCGTTGGGAGGGTTGCTGTTGCTATCCGAACACAAGGGGGGCTTGCCAATGCTACCTCACGTTGCTTCTCCTATTGAGAGCCTCTACATTGTGTATGCCGCATGTAAAATGCGCATTTCTGTGTAGATGACAGCCTACATGACATGGTCTTGATATCGACTTCAGCATGCCTTTGTCACTCATTGGGCTTACGACGACCGATGGATTCTAAGATTTAATCTGTCTCGATGTACTTGAGAACATTTGTGTATTGAAACTTGGTTTGGCCAAGGGAATCCAGGAATAAGAGCTGGTGCATCTGTGTGCTGGTCAGCCGAGTAGGCCAGAATACCAAGTCTCACGTCAAGTTCTCTCCGTAATCCGTACTCTGGTTACTGACGATGAGCACATTTACCACCGGGCTTGTCACAGGAGTCACGATTGGACATTTTCTCAAACGAAAGCTTCCACCTTACCACAGCTTGATATGGGAATAGCCACCAAGTTTTATCACGCGGACGAATGGATTGCTTTGGCACCCCTAATACCACGCGTCACAAGCACTGGGGTTCGTTCACTCAAGCTGAGTGATGTCGCAGTACGCTGGAGTCCAGATAGTTCTGTGCTTATACCGAAGGTCGTGTTGACTACTCAAGGGCCTGACAGGCTCAGAGGCACATCGAAGCTATATTGATGTTGATGGTAAATTGTAAGATCGGATCGAAGATCTTCGTCTGTTCCGGTCATTGAGTAAGCCACCGAGATAGCGACATCATCAGTACTGCCTCCGACGACCAGATGTAGGCTATCCCTCATAAACGCAACGTGCTCTTTGTGCCCCATGAAGTGGGCAGGGTATTCCAGCCTGGTGTACAGGGAAAGTCAAGACATGTTGAGCTATGACACGCGTGTTAGGCAGTCAGGTGGACAAGAAGTCTTCCGGCAATATCACTTGGTCCCGGACATTGGATGCTTAACATAACTCATTGTCGTGTTGCAGCAGGCGATTAGTTGTGCACCGTACCTGGGTGCAACGGACTGTCATGCAGGCGAGGCAAGACATCTCTATTCGGACAACGACGTGCTGCTACCGCAAGACACCATATCCACCGTCACACATGTCGACTGAGGTCCGAAGGGGGCGTTGTGAATTTCAGAGCATCTTATTAGCTCTATGCAATGGGCGGCAGCTGTCCTGCTACCTAATCCGGGCCAGCGAGACCCGAACAAGTTTTTTTATGAGTCCTGACCCTCGAGAATCCGTTGCGCGTTGATGGGGAATAAGAAATCATTTATTTCCTCTGAACCGTGCGATGCATCGAGAAATCGGAGTCCCCCTTGCCAAAAACGTACGCCGATCATTGCCGTCCCCAGCCCTTCGTTACCCAGACACAGGCATCACGCTCAAGCAGACTGGCAGCGGTGTTAGCGGGACGCGGTCTCAACATCGTGCGGGGTTGCGGTGGCAGAGGTTCGTTCGAGACGATGTCCCCCCTTTCGCCACCCCTGGCGTGGATGATGCTCACCTTGACGGCGTACTTGCGCTGAGGGAAGTGCTGCGTCTTCTTGCGCTGCTTCTCGGTGACCCTCTCCGCGTCGGCCTTGGACAGCCTGCGGCGGATGGCACGGGTCTGCTTCGCGCGGAGGTCGAGGGGCGCGTACTTCTTGTTCTTGTAGAAAAGGCGGAGCTGGTGGCGTTGCTTGGCGTTGATGACGGTCAGGACGCGAGCGATGGACTTGCGGATGTCGCCACTATATTGCGAGCCGTGGTCAGCGATGAGTTCCCTCGTGCGGTATTGCCTGCCTCCGTGGGAGGAGTACCGTCCCTGGAGAGAGAGCAAAACTGGAGGGAAAGGGCGGAGCGTACATCTTGTTGAGCTTGGAGCCGGAAGAGGTGATCTTCTGGATGCGAAGCTGGCCGAGCTCAGTCTTGAGCTCGCCGAGCTGCTTCGTCAGGTCCTCCTTGTTCTTTCCCCACAGCTGGGCGGCCTTAACCTTGGATGTCGACTGGTTCATTCTCGTTAGCGAAAAAGGGTCCCTCTGAACGCTCGCGAGTTATGTGCAATGTGTATGTGTGTGTGTGCGTGGTGGTCTTTGGGTATTTTTTTTTTCTCTCGCCCTTCAAGATTTGGGGACAGGCGCGGGGCGAATCGTGAAATCGAGGATTGCGGGTTCGGCAGGAAAGTCGATCGAGAAGAGTTCGCGGGTCGGGTGGAATTGTGGAAATCTGCTTCAACAGCAAGGCAACGGACTTACCATCTTGGCCAGAGACACGGATTGATCACTGAAGGACGGGGGTTAGTGGTGAGTCTCGTGATGTCGGGAACTGGTCGTCGTCAAGGCTGGCAAGGCAAGTCTGAAGTCGGAGTCTGGCGAAAAGAGATTTTGCCCTGCCCTAATTGTGCGCTGCGGGTCGGTGCGGTCGGTACGTACTGCAGGGTGTGCGTGTCTGAGTGGGCGGTTGTGGTGCCGGGGTTTACGCGGGTTCCACATGAAGGCGTCACGTGTCTGAGGCTGGTGACGGCAGATCTCGACGTGGCCTTAGGTAATCATTAAAGACGCACGGTCCATGTGAACGACGCACCCTGCCTCGGACCCGGAGGCGGCCAACACCAGACGTCAATGATCTGGCTTAGCCTTTGGCCACTTGGAACCCTCACATACGTATACAGGCATCATCATGGCAGCGAACTCTGGAAATACGGGCTGGGCCCAACTACGTCAGCAGGCGCGAAGTCTGGAGAGCCAGGTTTGTCGGGCATGCTCCTCTGTGTGCTGGTCCTGTCCACTGACGCCGATCAGACCGAGACACTATTCCACACCTATTCCCAGTTCTCGACGGTATCGAACATCCCGCCCAAGCCGACAGAAGACGAACGAACGACCGAGGCGAAGCTGCAAGATGTGCTCGAAAAGGTCCGTCGCGCAGCGCATGCTTTCCAGCGGGGCGAGCTCACCAAACTAACCTCCATCATGAACAGCGCGAATCTGTCGTCTCCCAGCTGACCCGCCTCCTCGAGTCGGACCCGACCCTCACCTCCTCGGCCCTGAAGCAGAACAACCTCTCGCTCCTGCGCGACAAGCTCGCCGACCACAAACGCGACCTCGTGCGCCTCCGGGCGACCCTCTCGCAGGCGCGCGACCGCGCCAACCTCCTGACCAACGTCCGCTCCGACATTGACGAGTACAACCGCGCCAAGCAGCAGCAGGACCCCGGCGCCGCCGAGGCCGAGTACATGCTCGCCGAGCGCTCGCGCATCGACAACAGCAACTCGATGGCCGACAGCGTCCTGAGCCAGGCCTACGCCGTGCAGGACAGCTTCAACCTGCAGAGGGAGAGCCTCGCGAGCATCAACCGCAGGATCACGCTCGCCGCGAGCCAGGTGCCCGGGATCAACTCGCTCATCGGGCGGATATCGGCCAAGAAGCGACGGGACGGCATCATCATGGGGGCGTTCATCGCTTTTTGCTTCCTGTGCTTCTGGTTCTTCCTCTGAAGGGACACGAGAAGGGAGGGGAGGGGGGTTTCCCTTTTCTCCCCTGGCGCGCGTTGTAGATCTGGTTGTAATGAGCAAGTATGCAGCTGCTTTGGTGCTTTTGGAAGGGGAAAAGACTATAGCATGTTGGGACCGGGGTCAAGGGTTTGCGAGGGCGTTGGGTGTTTTCGGTTTCAATACACACACAGAGAGACACACATCCTGGATGTTTCATGCGTGTTTCCTTTTTTACTCATTTGACAGTGTTGTACAAGTATGCTAGGTACATTGCGGGAGGGAAAAGATGGGGGAGGGGAAAAGATGGAAGGGGGTATATCTATCTACCAGCCAACAGAAACAGCCGGCCAGGGCCAGGCATTGATGAGGTATTGATGAGATCTGGCGCGTTGTTACACTCGAATAAGGACATGATGGCCCGCCCGTTAGATCTGCCCCGCCGCCTTGAGGGCGCGCAGGTCCTGGCGGTCCCGCTCCATCTCGTTGAGGACGGTCCTCGCGCTCTTGACGAGGCTCGCCAGCTCGTCGGGCGTGGCGGCGGCGCTGGCGGCCCAGCGGACGCGGCACAGGTGGTCGACGAGGTAGACGTAGCCGACCTTGCTGTTGAGCAGGCCGATGGACTCGCTGATCTCGGGGGTGACGGCGCGGCGCACGAGAAAGTAGCGGCCCCATTCGGAGGCGGCGAGGCGGCGGCGCAGGCCGCCCATGAAGAGGCTGACGAGCCAGGCCTTGAGCGTGTTGTCCTCCATGTTGAGGCGCACGAGCTGCAGGCGGTCGCCGCCGGCGTCGGCGAGCAGGGCGTGGAGGGCGGGGTTGGCGGCGGGGGCGAGGAACGAGTCGGTCTGGTCCTCGGCCCAGCGGCCCTGGAACAGGGCGACGATGGACGTCTTGCCGTGCAGGACGTTGGTCGTGGCGCGGAAGCGGCCGTGCTCGGGGTTGAGGGTGTCGCCGACAAAGTTGGGGAAGAAGAGGGAGACTTCGGCTTTGAAGGGGCGCGGCGGCGCGAGGAAGGACTTGCCGTTGTCGAACTTGAGGTTGCTCCAGTCGCGAAAGTAGGGGCGGGCCATCTGCGCTTTTCTGTGTGTGTGTGTCTCTCTCGTCAGTAGGCTGAATGAAAGAAGAAGAAAGAAGAAGAAGGTCGGGCTTGGAGGTGCAGGGCAACGGAGTGGACGTACAGCTGCCGGCGACGGGCGAGGTGCTTGTCGTAGTTGACAAAGTCATCGCGGCGTTCCTTGATGGTGCGCGGGTCGTAGCCAGAGTTGTCGTTGGGGTGAGGAGGGCCTGGCATGCCGATGGGACGAGGCAGAGGCTCGGGTGTGAACTTGTCGAGACGGGCGCCATAGGAACGAGGGGCTTTGATGGCGGCACCGGGAAGCTCTGGCTTGGGCTTTTGCAGGGGGACGGTGCCCACCGGCGCAGACGGCGATGAGGGCGTTGGAGGTAACGGCGCAGGCTTCTCGGCGAGGCGGCGGGCGGAGGTCGTGAAGAGGCGCTGCTGCCATTGGCAGAGGGAGCAAGCGACGAAGCGCCGCGGGTTCGCGAGTCGGGAAGCCATGGTAGGCGTCGCGATGGGGAAGGTAGATGGATGACGGGCTACGAGCGCTTCGAGCTTTGAGCTTCGAGCAATCAAGCGTCGTTTGCTTGGGTGCGTGGGAGGAATGGGACGTTGCGTAGCGCTGGGATTTTCGGCAGAAAATTGGGGTGCACTACAGGAGCCAACTGGCTACTCTTTCTGTTCTATCAGTCACCGAGCTACGCCTATGGTCACATCGCTACACAGCAAGACAACACAGTGTTCGCGATAGGGGACCTCAAGATGCTTTCCCAGTTGAGCAACGAATCTATCAGGGCCAAGTCTTCCGAACGTGCCCTCAGCCGATGTACGATGTGGCAGGTCAGCAGGGGAGGGCCGGCTCCGGGCGGGTGCCGGGCGGCGGGGGTGGAGATTGGTGAAGGCCGACGGAGGCCGCGCGCTGCTGTAGTGTGCCGTACATTCCAGGTGTTGGGAGGCGAGGTAGGGCCAGACCAAGCCAGAGATGAGAAGTGCATTGAACGTATTTGCATCAGTCATGGCGAAGTTTCTGCTTCTGAGAATGAATCCATGTGAGTTTTCAGGAAGACATGGCCCAAGTTTCGAGATGAAGACATCAAGGTTAAGACATCAAGATCAAGCATCAAGCATCAGGCATCAAGGTCAAGGTCAAGATCAAGCATCAAGGTCAAGACGTCACGATCAAACATCATTCACCTCATCGTCCACTCGAGCATACCGCAGTCCCGCTACAAGTACGCGGGGGCGCCCTGGCGCTACCAGGAAGTGGATGCGGAGAAAGGCGCTGCCAAAGGGTAAAGCCGAGGGCCTCTTCGTCTTCCCCGCCAGACTGTAGCGGGCATGACACAATGGGTCTCATGTGGTCCGAGTCCGAGTCGACCGCCAACACCGCGGATAGCCGCATCCTCGAGACACCGAACCCCCCCCCCCTCCCCTTCGGCCTTGAGAAGGAGGATAGGTCCTCTCTCCTGCCTTTTGTTGTTCGACCTTGAAGGAAAGAAAAAATCAATCGTCTTGCTCGTTGCTGTTTGTCCTCCTTGCCATTGAGATTCCTCGTCAACAGCATCAACCGCCAACATGTTCCTGTCCAAGTCTATGAGGACGCGGTGGAGCGCCTCCAAAAGCGTCGCCCGTCTGGCTGTGGCAAGCAGAGCCGGCCTCTACCCCTCCTCCTCCAACACATCGTCTTCGCCGTCGACGAGGCCCTTCCACAGCTCTCGACCGCTGCGCGTTGTCAAGCCTGTGCTGCTGGCCGACATTGGCGAGGGTATGTTGCCCTAAGCCTACCTACCTCCTTGCAGGCATCTACTGACTTGGCCACACTGCAGGTATCGTCGAGTGCGAGGTCATCCAGTGGTTCGTCGAGCCCGGCGCGCGCGTCGAGGAATTCTCCCCTCTGTGCGAGGTCCAGAGCGACAAGGCCTCGGTCGAGATCACGAGCCGTTTCTCCGGCGTCGTCAAGAAGCTGTACTATGAGGCTGGCGACATGGCCAAGGTCGGCAAGGCCTTTGTCGACATTGACATCCAGGGCGGCGCCAAACAGGAAGACCTCGACACGCTGATCGCTCCCGAGGCCGTCGAAGAGAGGCCGACGCCGAGCGAGCCTCAGCCAGACTCAGCATCTGCGCCCGCGCCGGCAGCAGCAGCAGCAGCAGCAGCAGCAGTAGCAGCAGCAGCAACAGCAACACAAGCACATACGGCGGCACCAGAGGCTCCGCCATCCACGTCACCAGCCTCAGAAACCCCAAAGCCAAAGGGCAAGTGCGCCGCGCTCGCGACGCCCGCCGTCCGACACTTGTCCAAGGAGCTCAAGATCGACATAGCCGAGATTGACGGCACTGGCCGCGACGGCAGGGTGCTCAAGGAAGACATTTACAAGTTTGTCAAGACGCGTGAAGCCACGCCAGCAGCAGCACCTCCATCACCATCACCATCACCACCAGCAACGCCCAGCAGCGCCCCCTCGGCGCCCCTCGTCGAGACCCGCGTCCCGCTGACGAACACGCAACACCAAATGTTCAAGTCGATGACGCGGTCCCTCGCGATCCCGCACTTCCTCTACGCCGACGAGGTCGACTTTACGTCGCTCGTCGAGCTCCGCACCCGGCTCAACCGCGTCCTCTCGACGCAGCCGCAGCACCAGGACCCGCACGTGGCCAAGCTCTCCTACCTGCCCTTCATCATCAAGGCCGTCTCGCTGACGCTGCACCAATACCCCGTGCTCAACGCGCGCGTCGACCACGCGGCCGACGCGGCGCAGAAGCCCGCCCTCGTCCTGCGGCCGCAGCACAACATCGGCATCGCCATGGACACGCCCTCGGGCCTCCTCGTGCCCGTCATCAAGGACGTCGCCAACCGCACGCTCCTCTCCATCGCCGCCGAGCTCGCCCGCCTCCAGGGCCTCGCCCTCGCCGGCCGCCTGCCCCCCGCCGACATGACGGGCGGCACCATCACCGTCTCCAACATTGGCAACATTGGCGGCACCTACCTCTCGCCCGTCATTGTCGAGCGCGAGGTCGCCATCCTCGGCATCGGCCGCATGCGGCCCGTCCCCGCCTTTGACGACGCCGGCCAGATTGTCAAGAAGCACGTCTCCAACTTTAGCTGGTGCGCTGACCATCGCGTCGTGGACGGCGCCACCATGGCCCGCGCTGCCGAGGTCGTGCGCCGCCTGGTCGAGGAGCCCGACGTCATGGTCATGCACCTGAGGTAGAGGGCTCTTTTCCCCGTCAATGCGGTTCGTCGGGCTCGTGCTTGCTCGCCTTCTCCACGCGGGTGTTTCGCCAGAGACAGATGTGTTGCTTTGTTTTCTTGCTCCACCAAATGCTGCGCGAGAGAAGAGTGAGAGAGAGAGGTAGAGAGACAAGAGGCGAAAAAAACAAAAAGCCAGGCCAGTGCGAGAGCAGACGTCCTGTCGTTTTGCCTGCGAGAGACCAAGAGGAGAACCACCATGTGGCGCGTTCGACTGTGCATGTGCTTGTGTGCACGCATGTGTGGTGTGTGTCGGCGTCACACCCACCTGTCTGGGGCGCCCGAGGCGGGGAAGGGCGGAGGGGGGGGGGGGGGGGGTCGGGCGAACGAAAGAGTG